AAAAACCTTGACTTAATGTAATGTTTAATGCACTTTTTGACGATAACAAAGAATGGAAAATATTTTCTTACGAGTTAGTTCAAAACTAATCTAAAAGTAATCCAAAAGTACTCAGAACACATTACCTAATATGTGTAATTAAACAGATTATGTTACTAACTACAATGTCCATTATGTAATTTGTAATCAGTAATGGACTACAATTTATACGTAATCTACCCAGTACTGGATACAACATAGATAAAGCAATATTTTATAAAAGAACATAATTGTAAACTTTTTTTATGAAACAGTATTAATAAATTCAATAACGATTGCCAGCCAACATTCCCATAATATTGAATTGTTACGAATGACATCATTATACTAAGTTTGTTATATAACATTAACACAATTACATTAAGACATACATTAAGAAAACTAGAATTTTAACATTTGAACAACCAAAACTGAATGTTTAGAAAATGTTTTAATGCTTAGAAACTTCTAACCTAAATTCTAAGCGCCGAATCGCTTATTTTGTGAATCACCTATTGTTGTTGTGTTCCTCATTTGTATGCTGCTTTAAATAGAAAGTTCTGCTAAATGACTGGATGTAAATATGAATGTAAATTCCTCATCAGGTAGTGTGTTACTTGCTTGCGGGAGCTGTGCTGGATCTTTCTGGTGCTCTTTGGTCGTTGATAATGTCTGGGCTTGAATTAAGAAGTAGAACTACTGAACTACTGTAAATCTGGCACCCAGACGCTCGTTGGATCAGCTCCAGATGTGAAGTATGTCTGCTTTATGCTGGTTTGAGGGGTTTAATCTGTGGATAAAGACAGAATCTGGATTATAATCCACCATTATTACACTGGAATCAGCATTTGATACTGGCGGACGGACTGGTTTTGACCGGAGAATTGTGCTGGTTTGAATCGGACAGGCGGTCTTGGTCCTGGTTTTGATTTTAGAACTGGTTTGGGCGCAAGAGATGGGGGCCGCTTCATCATTTAAAGAACCATGGACTAAAGTGTTGTCAACTCAGAGGGTAAATGAATATGCTAATGCTTTTGTGTTGCAATACTGCACCAAACAATCATATTATATAGAGTTTTAACAGGAAACATTTAATTCTGTATAGTTTGTGGTTGCATGATATTTCTCAGTGAAATTGCTTGGTTTGTTGTTTAATGGTGGTGTCTGTTAATACATCAGCACATTAACTTGCCATTATAACACTATACTTTTACCGTTTATGGTAACTGTTCTTGGATGAGTCACTTTTGTTGTGCTGTTCCTCATTTTTAAGTCATTATGGATGCGCGTGTCTGCTAAATATATAACTGCACATGTAAATTGGATGATACCAACCCTAACCTTTACTTTAATGTTAAACCAACTGAGCATTTGTACTATTCTTAGACGTGAAATAACACATTATTTAGTCCCTCTTAGAAAAAGTTTTCCATGTGGGGATGTCCCTACAAGGTGATGTCAAGTTTTGATGTTTTTGATACTTTGACGCCTCAAGAATTGCAAAATCTGCCCACGTGAACAGCGACACAAAGCATCTTTACTGCTGGTTGCAGAGGACTTTGGCTTTCATAGAGTTAGTTTAGTCTTTTAGATTTCTCTTGCACTTCATAGTAGGGATGGGCGATATCTTATCGTTTGCGATATATCGGTAAAAATTCTCCCCACGATAAGAATTAGTCTTCCCGTGATAATAACGATAAAGTCTAGTTGTTGACATATTTCTGTTTGCGACATCGCGGAAGGCGGACATGAAATTGAGGAGGAGTAGCCTATATCGCTAAATGAGGAGCTCGAGCTGTAACTGGTTTGGTTAGGGCTGTACAGTGCACAAAAAATTGGTCTGAATAAATGTACTACAGTAACATGTGTGCGATACAGTTTTGCATGTATATGAGCCTGTTTACAAACCTGTTGTCCAACAAAGATATAATTTATTGACATGCTTTTTCTCCAAATTAACTTAATAACCTAGTCGTGTGTTTGAAATACTTCTTTTTGTGACCAGACGTGGTTTCATATTACAGGATGATAGGATTATATACAGTGATAAAGGCCACGTCGATTAACATTGCATTATAAATATACTTTCCTTATAAAAATACCCAAGATTGAAGAACACAGATAAACCATATATTTTGTGTAATCGTATGTTTATTTTCCTCAAGTTTCATCAGTTAAAATGTCTCTTTCTCATTGTGCGTTTTATTCAGCGATAACTGGATACCTTCCTGGAGCGTCGTCAGTAGTATTACTTCTGCTATGGATATGTGGAGTTTCTGTACAAGAGCGCCCTCCGGCTTCCAGTATGAATTGAACAGTCTTTACATTACGTGTGTACTCATTAATGCTCACAACACCCTATTTTGGGTAAAAATAGGAAAGATAATACTTTTCTCTAAAGAAACAGGATTCCCTGAATTATCGTCATTGATATCGTTATCGCAATAAATACCAGAAATATCGTGATATTTTTTAAAGCCCATATCGCCCATCCCTATTTCATATAGACATCTTTGCATTGCTGAAAATGTCAGACGACCGAGCATCCGTTTGTCACATAATACGTCGTCTCACTGATCAAAACCACAAGACGATCACACAGCAGATTTTCAATTTGCCTTCTTGAAACCTTCAGCTGCTGCTCTTCTAGTGTTTCTTGTCTCTGCTGTGTGGACTAAAGACTGTGTTGTGTAAGAGGAGGTGATCTGTGTTTAAATGAGGCTGGCTAATCGTATTAGGTCATTTGAATTACCCAGATGCTGACAGGGGACTTTGGTACAGTGTGTGTTTCTTAGCTCTATTCTTCCATTGCTAGTTTTAATAGCACCAGAAATGAAAATTCAGTCATTGTTTACACACCCTCGTGTCGTTCCAAACCCAAATGCTGTTATTTATTAGATTTCCGTGTGGTTCTTTACATGTATTGATAATTTATAGTGACCACAAAACAAAAAACACAATAACGATAGAATAAACGTAGTCCATATGATTTATGTGGGGGTGTTTAATAATGTTGTGCATTGAAATTTGTACAAAATTTCAGTCTGTTCCTCACGCAAAGCTATTTCGTGAGACATGGAATTTAGCATGCAAGTTGTTTGGACTTTTTTACTGTACATTTATAATGCTTTTTGGTTTCATTTAGTTTAGTTTTAACTGGCATTATATGAAAATAGCTGCATGAAGGTTTCTCCTCAAGAAATTCATATTGGTTTGGAATGACATAATGGTGAGTAAATAATGACCAAATTTGAATTTTTGGTGAACTGTACCTTTAAACAATAGACCGAAAGTTCTAATATGTAGTGCAGAAACCTAGATCATCACCCACATGTACATCCTGTGTGCACAAACACACAAGGTTTGAGCGTTCATCCTGTCTGCTGGCTGAATGCATGCAGAGTCAGTTTGCACGAACAGGAATTGAACAGTGGTGTCTTCTTTCATAAGGAGAAAGTGAAATGGTTTTGTGCATCTAACGCTTGTTCGGACGGAGGGAGTGTGTGAGCGAATATCTGACTGGATTCTTCAGACTTCGAGATGGTTGAAGAGAAAATGGGGGGATGCTGGAGTCAAACGAAGGTGATCGAAGCGTTACTACGATACCATTTACTTGTTGAATTCAGAGTAGTTTCTGTCTAATGTGCCAAGTAAAGTTGATGGTGTGATTTTATTGTGCACTGTAAAGATTTTAAATGGTTCTTCGGTTCAGCAAAGCAATGCTTTGTTATCAAGAAGCATTTTGGCTGTGTAGGATTTTTGAGTTGCTGTTGTTGTTTTTTTAGCAGTGAAAAAATTTCTTGATTTCATTGTAGGTTCTTAAGATCAGTGTTTTTGATTTATTGGTTTTCATTACATGGAAGAAAAAAAAATACTATGGAAGTCAATGGGGACCAGAAACTGTTTGGTTACCTAAATTCTTGAAAATATCTTCTTTTATGTTAAGAAGAAAGAAATTCATATAGGTTTGGAACAATTTGAACCTTCAAACAGGTGCTTTTATGACAGCGGACTTAAAAGAAGTTTTGGTTCTGAATGGAATTTTTATGTGATTTGAAAAGATTGTAGAATACAATAGAGGGACGTTAGCTAGAACGTCCTGTTGTGTTTCCTAATGCATGGCATTTTTTGGGTTGTTTTTGCACAATCCATGCTTCGTAGGTTGTTAATACAGTATATAGGATTTCTTTCTTGTCAGATACCGATATTGGATCAAATACAAGTATTAAGTATTTTCTGTCATATTTTACCCAACATGCACCAGGCTCTTAAACTGAGCCTCTCACATCTCAAATATGTGATCAGCGTTAGCTGAGGTGTAAAAATGGATTGCGTCTGCTTCTAGGACTCATTTCTGTGGTGTGTTTGTGTGTTGTAAAGAGGTTATATTTACGTATCCTGGAAACATAAACGCACCTGCATTCACTTCCAGATTTCAGTTTTTAATACAACTTGGACCGCTCAGTCTATAAAACTGGTTCCTTGTGTTTTTCTGATAGGAAACCTTCAGAAACATCTTGAACTTGATGCAGTAGATGATCCTGGCTTTAATTTGTGAATTATGCAGTTTACAATTTATGTACAGTGGACAATGATTTGTGCTTTGACTTAAAATCCTGGCAAATTTTGAATGTAAAACTGCATTTACATCTATACTATTTTTTTTTCAACCTCATACTGTTTAGTTTGCACTTAGTAGTAACATCACTTTAGCAAATAAAGTGAAAATAGCTCATGCATTTGGTCACTATTTTTGACAGTACTCTCTTTCATGTCAGTATCAGGGTGGGCTTTTCCTGTCCACTTCCTTTTGACTTAATAGAATGTCACCTTTGCTTGTGACGCCCTGCGGTGTCTGTTTGGTGAACCTTTCTTGCTGTGGAACATTTGTTTTTGTTTCAACAACTGAATAAGGATGTCGAAACAGTCTGCACTGTTATTGTGCCAGCTTTAACATATTTCTCTCTCTCTCTTTCTCTCAGGATCAGTTTGATAACCTGGAAAAGCACACGCAGTGGGGAATCGACTTTGTGGAAAAATACACCAAATTTGTGAAGGAAAGGACTGAGATCGAGCTTAACTATGCAAGACAGATCAGGTGAGTGTTGCATCAGCCTCTGTGATTAATACAACTGCACTAAATATTTTCGTTTGCGTAAACCTTATACATGAAGACTTTTTAATGATGTATACAGGCTTTTATCATGGAATGGGTCATTTTCAGTTGCAGAATAAATAACAAAAAAAACATAACATCCTTAAATATGCATATTATACTGATTATACTGCAGAATTAGGAAGAGTAATATGCTGTGTGACTGTTGTGTACACAGGTGATCATCAGAGGCCAATGTGTCTGTGAAAGTGATATTGCTATCATGCAGATGTAACCAAAACATATACACAAAACGCATGGTGTACATAAAAAAAAATAAAAAATACAACAAATATTTATGCTTATAGACCGTAAAGATGACTTTTGAAATTACTTTTCTAAAATCTTTTTTTTTAAGTAATTTAAAAATTTGAATGACTTTTTAAAAACAATGAGTGACATGATTCATGAGAAAATACCGTTCCTACTATTTCTACTATTTCTACTTCAAAATTTCAGTGTGTTATTGCCATTTTATTGTAATTCATTGTGAAATTTACTAGGAATTTCTGAGTGAAAATCATTCCAAAATAAATCCTGCACCATTCCTTTCAGTGTATATGTATTTATTTAGCTTTCTAGTGAATATATGTATAGACCCTGACAGATTACCATTTTAAGCTGGTTTTCTGGTCTTAGCTGGTTTAATCTAGACTCTCAGCCTTGCCAAGCCTGTGAAAACCTCTTTAAAATCAGTCAACAGATAAGTCTGATCAAGCTTGGAGACCTTTTAAAGCTGTTTTTCAACACAGGTAATTATGTAGAATACTTTTGTGGCTTGATAGGTCAGAGGCCATGTCTTATCTCACCTGTGCCACCAGGATCACCATCAGATCTTAGGGTTCCTTCACCCAAAACCCCACTTTAACCCCTGAAATGCATCTGTCATGTCTGTGTAAATAAAGACAGGTGCAGCTGCTTGTACTTCATAGAGTGTTCGTTTAAAAATAAAGACTAGACAGTTAAACACACACACATACATTAATTACACCTGTGATGTTGCTGCCGACAGCTCAAGGATACAGGAAGAAAGGGCAACATTTGTGTTTTCTGTGTGTGTACGTTTGGGAAGAAAATGCAGGTTTCCGTGGTAACAAGGTGCCAGCATGGTGTTCCTCGTTGGTGACCTACATTTGCAGCAGCCAATCACGTGCCACGACTCCGCCCCCCATTCCAGTGATAGGATTTAAAACTCTCTCTCTCTCACACACACACACACACACACTGACTGTACATCATCCCCCTCCAGATAGCAGTGGGAAACCCCTTTAATTCCCAGACACAGCAGGGGGTTCAGCCATCTAACACACACACACACACACTCATACCAGCCTGTTACTGGATGTGATGAACTGCACTTATAACCTCAGATACACTGCGTGATAGAATTGCATTCTGTGGTCAGATGGTATAAACAAATGATCATGTTTTCATCCTTTACAAAACAGTACATTTGGCAGTTCCATGATTCTTTAATATACACATTTGAATATCATATTTACCATGTTAAATGGTGCTGAATTGACATTCCCATTTTAGTTGTGGTAATAAAAAACAAAACAAATGTCCTTGTTTTTTTCTTCCATGGTATATATTTATGATAATACCATGGCAGTTTTTGTATGGGATACAGCTTCAGTTGCATCTATATTAATACACTAGCACATGCACACTTACAGTTTTTGATAAACATGCATGCATATATGCACACACACACGTACACACACACACTAATATCCCAGATATCCTGATCCAGACAGGGACTTGCATGCATGAAAAGCGAATTAGCTAAGATTATAGTCAATATTGAGTGTGTGTGTGTGTGTGTGTGTGTGTGAGTGTGTGAGTGTGTGTGTGTGTGAGTGTGTGAGTGTGTGTGTGAAAGACAGGAACAGAGCAAATTTTATTTATCTTCAGGAAAGGAAATTGCAGTGTTGCAGAAACAGTCATATAATGTTGTGCAGTCGAAAACGCATCCAGATGTGATAGATAGGTAGATTGAAAGACAGATATGTAGATAGGTGGGTTGGTTGGTAAACAGTTTTTCAAAATTCAGAAATTAATAGATAAGTATTTATTAAGATTATTTATTATACATTTGTAGATTAATGTATACATAAAGTTATAGATTCATTTATTCATATTTATAGATAGATGATTTATTCATAAATGCACAAATTAATGTATTCATTCATTAATAGATGAATATTCAAATTCATAGATACATTTATTTATGAATTAATATATTTATAATCTACGACTATAAATGCATAATCTATGCATTTTTATTTATAGATTAATTTATTCATTAATTAAATATGATTAATTGACTAATCAAATTCATAGAAACAGGTAGATTATTTATTCATTGTTCATTGATTAATTTATTCAAATTCATAGATCAATTTATTTCTTCATTTATAGATTAGTGTATTCATTCATTCATAGATCGATAAATAGATAACTTGTTGATACATTTATTAGCATTACTTTGAAATATAAAAAATATCAATTGAATATGAATGTATTCAAATTCATAGATTATTCAAATTTATAGATATTTATTCATTCATAGTTTAGTTTATTTATAAATGAATAGATAGATAGGTAGACTATTTATTAATACATTTATAGATAGATTAATACATTAATTAATAGATAGATAGAAATTCATAATTTATTTATTAATTCATGAATGGATGAATGAATGAATACATTGGAAATAAGAACTTTATAGCATCTTTTAAATTCAATCTTTTTCCTATCAAATATTTATATTATTTGAGTCACAAATGTTAAAATTATGGTTGATATTACTTCCATGTCATTTATCACACTGTAAAAGAAAGGTCAAGTCGAGTGCATTGCATCGTGGGATACAGTGCTGCATGTAGTGTGACGGTTGTGTGTGTTTAATGTGTGCTGAGAACGCAGTGCAATAGTAATATTAGTATGTTAATGTGCTATTCTGAAGAATATGTGCAGAAAACAGTGGCAGAGAGACTGAGGGGGGGTTAAGAGGTGTTTGTCTCGCTGTGGGCGTGTGCGTGAGTGTGTGTTTATTTATTTTAGTGTGTTTTTTTCCCTTTGGCAAGGTGCAGTATGAACAAACACACACACACACACACACACACACACCTGCCCTGAGGTGGTGACGATGAGCAGACGCTCTGTATTTATAGCTGGTGGTGATAATAGAATACACAGAGAAACATCTGACAGTGACGAGAAAGGCTACAATGAAAGAAAGACAGCCTTTGTGTCACAGTTTCCACACACACACACACACACACACACACATGTTGTGTTTCCATGTTAATGTAGGAATACAGAGACAAAAAGTCCAAGAGTTCTATATTTGAATTTCCTCTTTTGATTGTTTCTTTGCACTAAGCATTTTGATTGGTTGCTTTTCTCATTTGGGCTCTCTGATTGGTTTATAAACTTGCTTTAACATTGCATCTCTGCAATGGAATACTAGCACACTGTTTCTGCATACTGCACTGAAGTATACACTGAATACAGCCAACTATTTAATGGTTTATTTAATTTTTATAGTATGTTAAACTGCATATATGGTAATCATTTCAAACAGTAGTATGTTGCATGTTTGATTCGGCAATACAGTATTACCTTTTTTCTTCTAAATAAAATGGTTATTTAACTTGTGGCAGTCAGAACAAGAATCAAGTTAAAATATTACTTATAGTTAATGTTCATTTAGTGAAAATTAAAAGTCAAGCACACATTGTATTGTGGGATACAGTATAGCACACACAGGGCTCAACAGTGCAAGCGTTTTAGGTGCATTTGCAACTAAAAATAAAAGTGTGCAAACTGTAAAATGAATTTAGGAGCATGTGTGAATAAAAACGGGGTCAGCGGGTCCTTAAAAAGTCTAAAAATTCAGTTTCCTAGATAAATGTATTTATTTCATTCATGGATTGATTTATTCATTAATTCATAGATAAATAGGTAGATTATTTATTCTTAAAATCTTAGATTAGTTTGTTCTTATTCATAAATGAATTTTTAATAAATATTAAATTTTTGTTTTTTATTGAGAAAAAAATATTGTACCCTTTTGGCATAGTTTTGCATAGCTTGTGGAAGAAACAATATTTGAACCAATATAAATATGTGTGACTAAAAATAGTGTGCAAACTCTAAAATGTATTTAGGAGCATGTGTGTGCATAAAAAAAGTTGTAAAAAAATGTAAGGTCATGAAATATGTTTTTAATAAGCTTTAAATTTGGTGATGGAAAAAACAGGAATTGTCAAATAGCTTAATGTGATTATTAAAAGGTGATGATTTTATGAAATACATGTAAGTGCTGCATGTTTCAAAGTAAAAATATGGTGCTTTTGCACATTGTAAAGGCTCGTGGTTTCATAGCATTTCACTATTAATGATACTGCATATTTATGCCAATAAATTGCTTATGATGGAAAGCTGAGATATTCTGACAATGTTTATGTAATGGTGTTTATATTGTAATATGTCGCAGATGGTTGTAAGAGTGCATAGTTTTTAATGAGTGGCCTATAACAGTATGCTCTGGTTTCATACTGCACATTTTTTTTTTTAATATAGTATATCAGTATAGTATATAAATACAGAGTTACCAGATGTAGTGTACCTTGTAGAAGGACTTACAGTATAACTTATGGTAGTAAGTATGGTAGCATTGTAAACATATGCAGTCATTTATTTCTTGTTTTTTAATTTTGCACAGGAATCTGTCCAAGAAATACCAGCCTAAGAAGAAAGAGGAAGACGAGAATAAGTATGTTTCATTTTTCTCATTTCTTTCATGATTGATATTAGATTTGTTTGGTCTAAATCCAGTTGTCTGAATCAGCATTTAACCCACTTAAATTAGCTGATGGATTCAGATATATTCATGTATGTGTCTCCGTCCTGTCTTAGGTACACATGGTGTCGCGCGTTTCATTCGACGCTAAACGAGCTGAACGATTACGCCGGACAGCATGAGGTCATCGGAGAGAACATGACGTCACAGATCATCGCCGAACTCACGCGATACGCACAGGAAATCAAAACAGAGAGGAAAGCGGTGAGTGAACGAACATTTAGATAAAGGTACGACTGTGAAACGTGCAATTTGGTTAAAATAATGTCTTCTATTCAAGTTTAATATACAGAGAGGATAAGTCAGTCATTGGTGGGATGATTTTCTGAAGAGTGTGGCACATTTAATTACATATAAACACACACAATGTCCATCCGTTTCTCTTTTTCATCCAGATCTTAGGTGTTTAAAGGGTTAGTTCACCCAAAAATGAAAATTCTGTCATTAATTACTCACCCTCGTGTTGTTCGAAACCCGTAAGACCTTCGTTCATCTTCGGAACACAATTTAAGATATTTTTGATGAATTCTCAGGGCTCTCTGACCCTCCCATAGACAGCAAGGTAACTACCACTTCGTTTGAAATTATATTATATTATTTGTCTGTGATTTTTTTAGTCATGTAGGATATAGGCTGTGACTGATATCATGTGCCTTACAAGCTTGGGATGATATGTTTATAGAGTTATGTGTGTGTGTGTGTGTGTATGTATGTATATATATATATATATATATATATATATATATAGCTCATCATCAAGACATTTTCTCTTCTAAATGATGATATTTTTCAGAATTATAGCACATCTCTCTCTTTTTTTCCATAAACAGAGATGCTGTTGTGTGTTTAGACTGAAAGTTTCTAGTGTGTATATATGAATTATATGGAGACATTGAGCTCTCGAGGTCATCGACTGTATGATTTATATGTCCAGACAGCACTGAACTAATGACCGGAGCGGCGTCCGAACACGACGTGCATCTTTCATTTAGCAAATAAGATGAAGGCATTTAGGTATTAACCTGAAGAACGCAGATTTCCCAGCATTCAACACTCTCACACACACACTGAGCGGGGCTCCATGGTGTCTGTCTGGCCGATTTCCTAGAATGCTGCTTCTCTCCTGTTTCATAAACCTCTTCTTTCTCTCTCTTTATCTGTCTGTCTATCCATCTCTTTCTTTTGTCTACCTCAGTTCATTGCTTCATTCTGCTGATTTGATACACGTGCCATTTTTGGATATATTTGTGCACGTATATATATATTTGCAAACTTATAGTTTATCCTTTAGTTAATGCATTTTGCAGTAGAGAATGAATTAAGAACAGTCTTTCTCCGTTTTTCCCGTGTTTAATCCAGACAGCATATGGTCTGGTGCTGTAATTCTCTATTAAACCTATTGTTGAAGAAGCTTTATGCTGACTTGTAACTTGTATAACGTGTGTGTTTGAGACATGCTCCATCTGTAGGCCTCGCTCAGTAGTTCAGATGATCAGTCCTGAACCTGAGAGCTGCTGCTTCATATCACCACACTCATCCAGATCCAGAAATCACTAGCTGAGCTTCTGCAGGGAAAACCAGAAACAAGAGAAGAACAAAAAACAAAAGCACATAAGTTTATGACAAAGACCAGACTGGTTTTGTGTAGCCAGACTTTTGGCTAACAGCATAAATCCGTATTCAGGCCAGGAACCACCTACTTAGGAAGAGACTGTCTTACAGACATGTAAAGCAACCAGATGCAGTTAGTTTCGTTTTTATGTGTTGTTTAAGAGCCCGTTTCTCTGAAATTGATATCTAGAAGTTGCAGTGATTTCAGCAATACAATTTTATTTTATTTTGGTTTGTTTTGTTTTATTTTTATTGTTTTTTATTTTTATTTATTGTTTTTTATTTTGTAATTTTACTTTATGTAATTTCCTGTGTTATGATATTTTTATGTTCATTTTAATTTATTATAAAATGTGTATTGCATTTTTATTTAATGTTTTTATTTTTGTTTTATTTTATCAATTTTTATTTTATTTTAATTATTATTTTATTTATAGTGGAAAGAAGTTTAATGTCAGTGTAGTTGCTATATTATTTTATTTTTATATTTTATTTGATTTTGTTGCTATGTTTCTTTTTTAAGTTTATTGTGTGCTTTTAATTTAATAACATTTTTATGTGTATTTAATTTAATATTTTAAGTTTTATTTACATTTTTATTTTATTTATAGTGGAAGAAACTCTAATGTCAGTGCATTTGCTATTGTGCTGTTGAGGTAGACCAGTTGCTTTGTTTTTGATCCAAGTCTGCATTTATCTCTTGTATGTGTGTGTATGACGCATGAATGATTCAAATCATCTCTGAAGCAGTGTCAGTATTGTTCAGTCTCATCTCTTTCATCTGTTCTCTGTTTCTCTGTTATTTATTTTCTTGTTCTTTTCTCAGCTGTTCTAACGGAAAAGTTCTCAGTGAAGCTTTGTTTTTAAAAAACAACTAGAGGTCAACTTCCTCTTTAAGAATAGGGAGACTTCCTCTGATTGGATGAAACTTTAAAGACTGATTCCAGATCAGCTGTGAGCTTAGGTTTCACTTTGTTGGTTTGTTCTAATGGGCCGCAAAAAGCAGAAGAATTGGACGGTTGTTGAACACTTTCGCCCTTTGTGTGTGTGTGTGTGTGTGTGCGTGTGCGCGTTTTCACGTTTATCTGTTTGTAAAAAACTGAGAGGTTTAATAAAGCTCAACAGCAGTAGAAAAATGCTTTAAATGCCATAATTGAATGAGAAATATACTATCTTCTGTATGTGTTTGTTCAATCACTTCAAACAGGCTTTAAAACTCTCGATCGCTATGCGAGACACAACTGGACTCCTTCAGCATTGACTGACTGTGTGGTTTTGTACCCATAATGCTTTCTGCTCTATAGGGTTTTATTCACACGCTGCGTGCCGGCATTCCTTATTCAGCCCAGAAACTCAGCGATGAATACTAAACACATTCACACACTTTCATTCATTCATTCACTCATTTTCTCACTGTCAGTCTTTCTGTCTGGTCTAAACACATCAGTTCAGTTACCACAGAGAAACAGTAGATCCTAACTTAGACTGTGAAAACATTTTGTAGAATAAATGTTAAATATTTTATACATTTTACAAATATTTAAATTTTAACCATAAAATATATGAATTTTATGTAATATCTATATATTACTTATATATTTATATATTAATATTTAATGTATTATATATTTATGTTTTTTTATTTAAATGTATTTATATATTATAAATAATTTTCTAAATTTGAGAAAACAAATTTTCAATAAATGTATATATCAAATATACAGATCAGTGTTTTGAAAGTGTTGCATAACCGTAGTATTTACGCTCTTCAGACAGTCAAACACCACATGACTTGCTCATTTATCTGGAAAGTATTTTACATTTTTCTCCTTTTTAAGAGAACAACTTAGGATCCATATACACTCTGGTATTCAAATACAGTAAAATTCATTCAACCAAGTAAAATGGACAGTGAGATTGCACTGATATGAACGGTCTGCTGATGTTTGATGCTGTCTGACTCGGTCTGTGTAATAAACAGGATATTGAGTCTAATCTGTGTCATTACTACAGATCCGACCGTCTGACATTCACTACAGGTGTCCATGTGTTTCACAGACAGCAGCTGAGACTCGACTCAAACTTATTACAAGCATTAATGTTACAGGAATTAATCAGGAATGTTCTGGGTTCAGTCTGTGACATTTTGTCGATTCTAATATAGACAGAAAATAATTTAGACAAGCAAAAATCACATTTACAATGATGCACAATAAGTGATTATAGCGGATTACCATGTTTATTGTAACACAGCAACTATGTAAAATAAAATCAATAATTCAACTACAATTTAGTAAAAAAAGTGGACAGCAAGGAAGGGGTTACACTCTAAAACATCAAGAGTGCAAAACAGACACATCCACGCACACACACTCACAGACACACACACAGTTATACACACTCAAATGAATTGGTATGGCTATAACCATATAGCCAAAATGAGTCAGAAGACTGAAATAAGAGGTTGAAATCAGATCAGACCCAGAAGGATTAAGGTCTGATAAAGCATTGCTGTTTATTTTTGTTACATTTTTAAATAATTTTAATGTTTTGTATAACAAAATGCGTTCTGTGTTCAGGTTTGACTGTAGTAACAATAATTCAAAAACTGACGCTTCAAATCAACATTTAAACCAAAAAATGTTGGTCTTTGAGAATGCCTTAATATACATTTAAATCCACAACCTAATAAAAGTACATAATTATATGATAATAATTATTCCTCTCGGGTACAGGCTTACATGCACTCAGATAATTCTGATTGTATTTTTTCAATTATTCATATCTTCTTTAACTGCAAATGAGAGCTCCTTAATTTCAGTTGTTCCTTCATGACAGTAATGAGATTAAATTTGCCTTCATTTATGTAAACCTATGCTGAATCTGAATAAATTAGTGATTAATTTCTTCATCCTTCTCTCTCACAGCATTTCCATGATGGACGGAAGGCACAGCAACAGATCGAAGCCAATTGGAAACAGCTGGAATTGGTGAGTTCGGTCAACATCAATAATCAATCAATAATCCATAAAATAAATGAGCACTGGAATCTCATTGTTATTAGGTGGTAATACTATGGTACTTTGATATACAATGGTCTCCAAAAGTCTGGGGGCACAAGTGAAAAGGCTTTTATTTTGCATTATTTAATACAACATTTCGATACAGAATAAATGATTAAAATATAAAAATTATTTAAAACTTAAAACAGTATTTGTTTGATATATTTTAGTCATTTTAAAAATTTAACTTACATTATTCAATACATTTTAATAAAAAATTTATTATTAAAATGATTTAAAGCTTAAATAAGTATTTATTTTTGTAATTTTAATAAGCTTTCATCATTCAGTACAACATTTCATAATCATAAATTATTAAATTAAAAAATATTATATATTTATATTTTATTAATATTAATATATTGTTATAATATGAATATATATATATATATATATATATATATATATATATATTTAAATGTCATTAAACTTGCATTATTCAATACATTTAAATACATATTAAATTATCAAAATATCACAATTATTTAAAACCTAAAACAGTATTTTTAAGATCTATTTCATTTATATTTGTAATTTTGAAAATTAATTAAGCTTACATTATACAATACTATATTTCAGTACATATTAAATTAAAATAGTAAGGTCCGATTTTAATTTAATTTTAAAATGAAAATATTATATTATTAATATTTTATTCAGTGCAACATTTTAATACAAATTTAATTTTTAAAATATTACAATTAAATTAAATATTTTACAAATAAAATAAACTATTATTACTATTTTATTTATAATTTTAAGTTTCAGTTAAACTTAAACTAGCTGTATTCCATGCTGAGTGATTTTCATATTCATATACCATGCCATGCTTCAAACTACACAATGCTATTACCATAGTAAATGTACAAAAGCTAAGATAACCACTTAGTCCATTAGATACTGTGTGTGTGTGTGAGAGACGTCCCTCTGATCACACACACACACACACACACACACACACACACTGTAGCAGACAGGATATATCAGGACATTCCTCTGTACACACAGTAAATTTGCCCGAGTAAAATTTACTCAAATTGAAGAAAATTTTACTCTATGTGTGTGTGAGAGACGTCCCTCTGATCACACACACACACACACTGTAGCAGACAGGATATATCAGGACATTCCTCTGTACACCCACTGTCTCAGAGTGTGTGGTGTTAGAGATGGATTGTGTCGTTGTTAGCAGAGA